CTTTTTTATCGACTCACTTAAACGGAGTATTCACTGTCAGTCGACGTCTATCGATCGATGATCTCGTTCCAGTTTTAAGAAGCGCAAGTGGAGCTTCTAATCGTCATACCGAGAAATGCCGTGGTATAAGATTGTACATAGTGTATTTCTAGTAGTTCAAATGATATTTCTACGACGTTCATCGTTCATCAAGTCATACGTTTATAGGTATAACATTATTTTCTTTCTATATTTTTACAATTCTTCCTGTTATTTCATTTTATCTAATAGCAACTTAGTCGCATTTAACAAAAAGTGCATAAAGATGATTAGTACAACGTTTCACTTGCAGTTAAAAAAAAAAAAAAAAAAACCATGTTACTTTTTTACCTTTCCTTTTTTCCTTTTACAAATTGCCAATGAAAACTCAGCAGCTGCAGCTGCAGCAGCAGCAGCAGCAGCAGTTTTAGGACAAAATCAAATTGACATGACTACTGTATTGTTAATGTATTTGATGATGATGATGATGATGATGATACAAAAAAAAATTAAATGTATTGATTATAATGAAAGGTCATACCGATTAATTTGGATGATTCTTGCTTGATAATAATAATAATAATAATAATAATAATAATAATAATAATAATAATAATAATAATAATAATAAAGATGGAAGGAAAAAATGAACAACGGTACCCATTGATTTTGTTTGCAGATTAGCGAGAATGGGGGGTAGCCTGCCAAGCGGATGGATGAGGAGGATTCTCCTCTTCCTCGTTTTGATAACCGGCGTACTTCTTATTGCCATGTACGCGCATGCACCGCCACTTGCCTCGTTGCAGCCCTTCACGACACGTCGGTGAGTTCAAACTCTAAATAGCCATGGTCGATATTACCCATACATTCTTACAATACACATGTGTACGCTATGTATACTTAATACACAAAGAAGACAGAGAAAAAGAGATAGAAGTTTTAAGTGGTAGAATGACAACGTTCAATGTCAATGCCAGTTATGTTAAAACATCGATAAAATTACTTTACAAAAGTTTGTTTGTCAAACGTCGATGATCGGCAAGCATAGAATGTCTTTAGATTATCTCGTCTATCTTAAAAGTTTTTGTTTATGACATACTTATTCTTTTTTCTTTCATATTTTCATTTCATTTGCAAATAGAACATTTTGTTATAAGATAAATTCATCTTCTTTCATTTCTGTATTTGTGTTTTCTTTTTTTTCAATTTCAAATTTAACAAAAAAAAAAAAAGACAAATTAATTTAATTTGATATTTTTATTTATTAATTTTTTTTCTGATTATTTATTTATTATTGTTGCACTCGTATCTTAACACTACGCAGATTGGAAGAATTCGAACAGGGATTGGTAACCTTCTTGGTCGAAAATGAGAGCACCAAAAATCCTGAGGATCGTCTATACGAGTACTTTGATGTGTCAAGGAAAAAGAACTCTACCGGACGTGATAAACGGACGTACGATAAGAACAAGATCTTTACAAAAACCAAAAAAAAACCCAAAACAAAATCCGGAATTCGTGTGCGCTTGTCCTATTTATGCGAATATCACATTTTAAGTTGACTACTGTCGAAACAAACAAAAATATGTGTTTATTAAATGTAATATTGGTTTTAAAAATTGATTTTATTACTTTGAATATTTATTATTAACTCTAGTCATTTTGACTGGTCGGGCCATTTTAATTCAAAATGTCTACTTCATGTAACATTTGATTTCAGTAAATAATTAAGCGTTTTGTTATTTAAAAATATCTATAAATCTATTGATCTAGTAAAATTATTATTAGTAAAGATTTTTTGTTATTTTTTAAGAATAAATAAAGACTGGAAGTTTTAAAAAGCATTTTTTTTTTTTTTATACACAAGTTATTTTAACTAGCGTGGTAAAAATAGATATACTGAAAATGGCTGTAAATACCACCGAATATAACACCGACAGAATCAACTTAAAATTAATATGCATTTGTATTTGCTAGTCAGTTTTTGTTTTGTAATTTATTTAAAAGAACAAAAACTAAAGCTTGTGCGAGTTTCGTGGTTGTCCATGGTTTTTGTGTCTTCCATTTACCAGAAATATTGTAACAGATATTTTTTATTTTATTTAAAAGCTAGTATGTATCCACACACTTTTTTGCTTTCTACGAAGTAACGGACCAAGTTAAGAAAAAAAAGAAATAATGGTATCAAATAAATCATGGAATCATTTTGTGTTTTTTTTTTTAACTTGGTTCACTGTAACATTTAATGTTACAATTAAAATCCTTATTATTAGGATACAGTTTCCATTAAGCATAGCTTTATTATTTGGCTAGCATTTCCTTTCTTCTAATTTCTTGAAATAAGTATAAACAACATTTATTGTCACGTACACACATTCTACTTTCGTTTTTGTGTGTGAAGCTTTTTTACCTGCAATATATTTACGAGAGGAAAAGAAAGATAAATTAGAAAAAACCAATTGCTAATCGTGTGTGATGGTACTCTTAATCGATATTCGATTATGATTGAGATCTTAAAAAAAAAAAATTAAAAAAAAAAAATGAATACTTACGAACAAAATATTTGATATTATTATCCTTGGTAATAGGAGATTTGAATTTTACAGAGTTTTTCAAAGTCCTTGGTCATGGATTTGTGTAGCTGGTCGTTGCGAGAGAAGAGCCGTAAAATCGTCGAAAGTATCTTTGGCAACTTGTACAGCCCTTTGCGGTGGTAACACTCGTCTTCTGTGGCCAAGACCTACGGGAAATGTCATTTTAGGGGATGAAAGTGTGACAATGCATTTACAACAAATCGAATTCGTCACGTTGAATACGAGTGATCGTGACGTTAAAACTTTGTTGGAGTATGCCAAAGATGTTTTCTTAGGTAAATTATTTCATTTGATATAATTCATTCTAATGATAATAAATAGGAACAAAGCATTATTTATTTTGTTATATTTTGACAGGAAACATAAGAAGTTTAATTCGAGTGTCAAATGCCAAAGGTAGATCAGGAATCGATAGTTTTGTGATATATTTGAGTGCTGGCAATTCACGTGGGACCAAATTGACCATGGACACGGACGAGTCGTACAACCTGGAATTATTTTTGAAGGGTAAAGTTTTGGAAGCACGTATAACGGGAAAAAGTTACTACGGTGTACGTCACGGATTGGAAACGCTAGGACAAATGATATGGTGGGACGAGACAGCCGAAAGGCAAGGTTCACTACGTGTACTATCGCGTGCGTTCATCGAGGACAAGCCAGTATTTTCATATCGTGGTCTGCTCGTCGACACAGGGAGACAATTCTTCGGGATCGAGCAATTAAAAAGATTGATCGACGGTATGGCTGCCTCGAAACTGAACACCTTTCATTGGCACCTAACGGATTCTCAGAGCTTCCCCTTTGACTCGGTACAGTTTCCGGAAATGGCCAGATGGGGTGCTTACAGTGGGGATCAAGTTTACACACCCGATGACGTTAAAGATCTAGCCGATTACGCAAGAATACGTGGAGTTAGGGTACTTGTTGAGATTGATTCTCCTGCTCATGCTGGTGCTGGTTGGCAATGGGGTGAATATCATCAATCATTATTATTTTGTATTCTTTAAATAATCAAATCAAATTGCAATCGAAATTTGTTTATTTTAGGAGCTGAACACGGTTATGGCGAGCTAGCACTTTGCGTTGACCAACAACCTTGGACGTCGTATTGCGGTGAACCAAACTGCGGTCAGTTAAATCCGATAAACGAGCACTCCTATAGAATACTCGAAGGTCTCTACAGAGAATTATTGGACTTGACCGAAGTACGGGATATCATTCACCTTGGAGGAGATGAGGTTAATCTTGATTGTTGGGCACAGTATGGTAATATAACTGCAGCTATGCAAGCACAAAATATGACCGATCATCATGCTATGTGGGCGGAATTCGAAACGAAAATGTTACAACGTTTGGTTAAGGCAAATCACGACGAGGTACCAAAAGCAGTCATTTTGTGGAGTTCACCACTTACCAAACGTCCATACATTACTACTTATTTCGATCCTAAGATACACGTCATTCAATCCTGGGGTGGTAGCAATTGGCTCGAAACTTCTGATCTTTTAGAAGATGGTTTTAGAGTTATATTGTCTCACGTAGATGCGTGGTATTTGGATTGTGGATTTGGTAGATGGAGGGAAACCGGTGAAGCTGCCTGTGGCGAGTATCGTACCTGGCAAACGGTTTACAATCACAGACCTTGGAAGGAATATCATCAGCAACAGATAAGTTTAATTCTTGGTGGGGAAGCTGCAATTTGGAGCGAACAAATGGGTCAGGCTTCTTTAGGACCAAGAGTTTGGCCAAGAGCATCTGCTCTTGCTGAAAGATTATGGTAATAATTTGTTGTTGTGTACAGTACAGTACAGTAGTGTACAGTACGACAAGTTATATTTGTTATATTTTAGGAGCGACTTACCAAGTAGCGGTTTTTCGACCGACGAAAGTGTGTACACGAGGTTAGCTGCTCACATCGAAGTATTAACAAGTCGAGGAATCAAAACTGAAGCCATGTGGCCACAATGGTGTTCTCAGAATCCTGGTAAATGCCTCTGACCGATCGTCAGATGATTGATAACGAGCGTTATTCTATTTTATGGATCGTTGAGATCGATTGCTGCTACGATAGAATGCTAGAAAGAAACCAAAACGGAAGGCCATCATTTCTTGACGGAACGCTTAAGCATCGAGAAAAGGAAAGAAATGGAAATTCAAATCACAATGATAATAATGATGATGATTATTATTATTATTATTAAGTCTCGAGTGTGTAGCATTTTTGCTAGAATTTTCTTATTGAAAAAAAATATAAAAGACATCGATTTTTCATCGATGTGATGATGATGATACTCTCGTGACTGCCATGAATCCTCGTGTTTGCGTTTACGATACTTGCTATACATAAGAATAAGTATAAGAAGAAACAGAAGAAGAAGAAGAAGAAGAAGGTGGTGATGATACACGATAAAAAAAAATGGCCTCCTAGATGATAAGATAAAAAAAAAACAGGGACGTTTTTCGATGGATTAAGAAACAAATACTATGAAGAATTGTTCTTCCGGTCGCGCGCGCACTCTTAACGGACCGGGTACCTATATAAATTATCTATCGAACGTCAGGTTAGTCGTTTAAATTCTACTATTTTATTATAGAAATATTTTTCGTTGAATATTCGACAAATTTGGAAAGAAACAAAAAAGGAAGAAGAAGAAGAAAAAAAAAAGAACGACAAATATTATATATGAATAAACTATAGAATAATAAACATTAATCAATTTTGTAAATTACGTTAAATCACTCGAACATTTTATATGAGTTAGGAGCTAATGAATAATAGTGATCATATTTGTTAATTATTTGATTTATTTGAGCACAGCAGAATAACAAGAATGACAGTAGTAATAATTAATTAATAATAATAGAGCCAGTAGAGCCAGAGTAATAGTAATATTAATAGTTTATTAAAAATGAAAATTAACGGATCGTTATAATAAATAATAGTAAACGAATAGAAAGTACGTCTCGTTTAATTAATGAAATAACTTACAAAAATGTTGGAGTATGATAACTTTATATAGACGAACGTGAGATGATGATGATGATAATGATAATGATGATGATGATGATGATGATGATGATGATGATAAGCTTTGTATGTGTACATAGTGTCGGTGTATGTAAGTGTAATAACGTGGCGTGCGATGTTATTATTGTATTAAGATTTTAGATATTAAATCAAGTTGAGTTGAGTGAAGAGAACAAAAAAAAAACAAAAAAAAAAAAAGAAAAAAAAACAAGAAAAGGAAAAAAGCAAGCAAACTAGACGTTTATTATTTGATTTTATTTTTTTCTTCTGTTCGAAGTGCCTTTTTAAAAAAAAAGTTTTCACGTGTGTATTATACGTTCCTAAATTCTGTTATTGCACACCGAACATTTATCTAATCATAACATTACTGTAGCAATCGTTTCATTTTTAAATCTTGATTCTTTCTTATTTAAATTTAAAAAAAAAAAGATAGATTTTATTAAAAAAAAAGACAAAAAAAAAGATAGCAATTCTAATCAAATTGTCGAATTTATTTTGAATTGCATTTAAGAAAAAAAAAAAGACTTTTTAACACTAGTTATACCACCATTTTCAGTATATCTATTTCTACCACACTAGTCAAAAGGACTGGTGTATCAAAAAAAAAAAAAATGCTTTTAAAGGCTTCCAGTTTTTTTATTTATTCTTAAAAAATAACAAAAAATGTTTAACAATAATAATTTGAATAGATCAATGGATTTATAGACATTTGAAAATTATTTACAGTAATCAAATGTTACATGTAGTAGAAATTTTGAATTAAAATGGCCTGACCAGTCAAAATGATGACTGGTCTGGTATATCTAGTGTTAATATTTCGTATTATTTATTCGCTTGATCGTTGGATTAAAAATAAATCATATATATTATCTTATATATCATATATTCTGATATGTGATATGTATATACATATATACACGAAGGATTGATTACATAAAACGATCATAGTTGATAAATAAACGGCCAGTCAAATGAAATGTTTAGGAAAAGTCGTATCTTTCGTCCATTGACTTAAATTTTGACAAAGTGCTCGTGTTAGTAGTTTTGTTATAGCCAAATCTTCATGAAAAAAAATATATAAATAAAAAAATAAAAATATATATATATATATATATATATATATATTGTGTTTAAATATCTTTTACTAAGGTTTTTAGAATAAATATTATTATTAAAGGAAAAGACAAAAAAATATTCGATGAAGAGATTTACTTATAAAATTGAATAGTGAATATTATGTTTACCAAAAAAATAAAAGGAATAAAAAAAAGAAAAAGTAAAAAAAACACACACACACAAACAATAAGAATTAATTAAAAAAGTATGTTAAACTTTCAGATCATTATTTTTATCGTTTAAACAAAATTTATGCTCTTTGGCAGAAATTATTAAAAATCCGGTTTTTTCTTCTTTGTCTCTCTTTCAAAAAACAACAACAAAAACAAAATAAAAAAAAAAAAAACGAAGAAAAATATTATAATGTAAATATGCCCATTAAAATATAATAAAACGAAAAAGAGAAAAAAAATGAGAATAGCGTTGGTAGCTTTGAAGTGTTTTTTTTTTTGTGTGAAAAATGTAAAATATTTGCAAAATGTTTATTAAAAATAGGAGAAAGGATTCGTGGTATATATTCTGATACCAGTACTTTTTCTTTCTCCCAATTTATTATATAATGCGATAATCGATCGGTGAAAATGTGTAATAACGTGTGAAAGTATTATTATGTGAACATTGGTGTTGTTATACACAAACAAATAATATACGATTAAATAATAGTGTCGTATATATATAAAATATGAACGCTCAAAGAGATTTATTAGAAGAAGGTAATAATATGACAACAAATTAGATAAAAAGCAATAAAAACCAAAAAAAAAAAAAAGAAAAAAAAAAGAAAAGAAGTGATGAAACAAAGCATGATAGAAAGAAAAATACAACAACAAAAACTGTACTTACTGTTACTTACTGACATTGATAATCGTAAGGGAAATAATAATAATAATAGTAATAATAATTAAAAAAAAAAAATGAAACAGAAGGCCGATTTTTTAACTTTAGCCAATGCAATAAAAACCGCAATGATGTTTATTAGTCAGTTCAAACGAGTGAAAATATACTTGTTTTTTTTTTTTTTTTTTTTAATTACTATACTCCACCACCTCGTTAATGGGAATGAAATAATAAAAGTGTCGGGAGAAGGATGGAGAGCCTTAGATGAACAAAACTAGCCAGACAAATAGTAATAATTAATATATATTAAAAAGGAAAATGAAATGCATAATTATTAATGAGACATAATTATTGCGTTTATACGATTACTATTATTATTATTAATATTATTATAATTATTGGTTTTCAATGGAAACAAAAAATGTTCATAAAAGAAGAAACAATCGTTCTAAGAAAGGATATACTCTGTTACAAAATGCGAATAACAAATGTTTAACATAAACTGAATTTTAATACGAACCTCTTATTTGTCTAGATTTTCACTATTACTCCCGTCTCTTATAATATTTAATCCGATTCGTATAATATTCATCTATTCATTTTATAACTAATTATAACGTTTTTTATATTATTCGTAATTCAAATCGTAACGTTATTTAAAAAGAGTTCTACTTTATCGCCCACTGGTGATTCCAATGCTAACTAAGACAAACTTTTTATGGACAGTTGTCGATAAGATAGAATTAATATTTCCTTGATTTATCGACTGTGTAAAATATTCAACTTAGTTCCGAGAAATTTCTGCCTTACCAACAATTATTAATGAATTGTTTTTTTTTTTAATTACCGACAGAGCTACCGACCAGTGTTACCGACAGTGCTACCGACAGATTTTTCGACTTTTTAAATATTTCAAAGAATTAAAAATTATGTATAACACAACTGTAACTTATGTCCAGGACTTGTTATAAATAATTATAGAATAAACAGATAAATAATATATGAATCATGTTAGATATTGTAAGAAAAGAAAGTAACAATGAAAATGTGCACAAGAAAGGCTCGTAATAAAATTCAGTTTATGTTAAATACTATATTTGAATTTAAAAATATATATGTACATTATATATATATATTAAATTTCTTTATACAGGATGTAAGGATAAATACATGCGACAAAGTTCACAAAATCAGATCATTGAATGTAGAATAGTTATTCTTATTGTTTAATTTGTTAGTCGACGTTTATAAGTGAATTGCTTGTATAGTAAGTTATATTTAAACATCAGAGAAAATTAAACGATAAGAGATTAGATTTTTTATTAATCTATATATTAATACATACATTTTATTACATTTCAAAATATAATAATAAGAGTATTAATAAAAAATAATGGAAAAAACATAATTATATGATATTTAGTAAAAGGTAGATTTTATTCGTTGTACAAAAATTTTCCTAAAGAACATTGAAAATTTCTTGTACAAGGTTCAACGTTAAAATAACAAATCGTGGGAATAATTAGTTGTAGAACATAGTTAACAAACTTGAATAATTCATAGAAAACGGGAAATGACTCTAACATTGAATTATTCGTTGTGAATTTGATTAACTGTATATTTATGAAGTTAACAGAAAGGAATTTTCAAGCAAGAGTTTATTAGTGATTTAGCAAAGCATGGTGATATATCGTATTTAATTCTTTGCCTTTTTTTATTGAGTATAATTGAAAATAAAAATAAAAATAAAAAAAAAAAATTAAAAAAAAAAGTAAAAGAAAAGAAAAAAAAAAGAAAAAAAAATTAAATTATAATTATACATTAAATAAAAGGTACTATTTATTTAATTAAATAAGACTATAAATTAACGTACAGTGCATGTTCATAGAAACATGTATCATATAAATTCGTATACTTTCCATTTCATCATGCAGTTGCTTGGAAACTTTCGTCGCGGCTTCTCAATTCTCGATAAATCATCTCTTCATCAATTTTTTTTTTCATCATCTTCTTCATCATCATCATCTTCATTATCGTTATTTTTTCATCTAATTTGTTAAATATTTGTTTGTTATTTTGTGTCGTGTTAAAAAAGATTTGCCAAAGGTTTGTTTTTTGTTTTCTCTTACCTTCAAGTTAACGAGTATTATTTTCTCTTAAATATTTAATTATTGTTTTATTTTTACAAAAAAAAAAAAAAAAAAAGAACAAAAAGTCAAGAAGATAAGATACAAAGAGGGAAGACAAAGGATTTATACAAGTGATCAATACCAACGTCATTCTACAAACATCTCCAAGATCAAAGGTAATGTTGTTTGAATGCATTTTTTTTTTCTCTAAACGATGATAGATTATATATTTGAGAAAGAAATATTATTAATTATATATGACAATTAAGAAAATAACAAGGATATGTGGTTTCGATTACTTTCACTCCTTCTTTGATCTTTTGCTGAATTTAAAAGGTAAAAGAAAATAAAGGATTTTGATTTTTTTGTTTATTTGAAATAATACAATTTAATGATGAAATATAAAAAACACCTGTGTGTACTTTGAGATAAATTGGAAATATTGGAAATATTTCAAGAACAAAAAAACTTCATACAATTTTTTTACAAACGATCCAATTGAAAATATTTATCTTTAATAATTTATTATATGATAATCAAATAAAGGAATTTGATCGATTATCTGTTTCGGTTTTGGTGTATGTAATATTTGCTAGTTGATTTGGTTTCTTTTTTCTTTCTTTCTTTCTTTCTTTCTTCTTCAAAGGACGTGTCCGAGAAATTCAGTGATGCCGATCGTACAACATTCTTAACGTGTCATTATTGCTTAACCGCGAAGCAAGTAAGCAAGCAAAACTGTTGTGCACTTATTAAATTACTTCTATAGGTATGCTTAAGTACAAATTTTCATTGATTAATAAAGAAAACACATTTAGAAAGGGAAAACATTACGACGAAGATGAAGACGACTAGTTGGATACGTAAATCATATAAAGATGTTGTAATAAATAACTGTAAGATAAATTATTGTAAAATATCGCATAGCTTTAACTCTTACTAGTTTATTATTGTATTTATTATCGCCTTAGGGAGAGAGTGGAACGTTCTTTGCATCTTCTTATTCGTGTCATGTTCATTTAAAATTTATGTATTTTCAAGGTAATAAGACAAAAATCTTCAAATACGAGAGAAAGAAAGAGTGAGAGAGATTTAAATAAACAAACAAATAAAATAAAATATTATCTCAGTTAACTATTTGCTAAATTACTATTTTATTATAATTGATTGAATCTGTTTATGTTTTTTTTCTTTTAAAAAAAAAAAAAAAAAAAAAAAAACTATTCAAAAACTATTCAAATTATAATCACCAAAGTAAAAGAATGTTTTCATAGGTTTGTTTCAAGGTCACAAATTCATTCTTTATTTTTTTTTTTTTTTTGGGAGGGACGGGGAGAAATCAATAATAATCGTATATCATCATTAAACGAGAAAAAGAGAAATTTATGACAAATTGTATAATTGCAGTAACATTTTCGAATCTTTAAACAGGTATTTCGTAATTATTTGCATACTTTTTATTTTTTAACATATTCAGTGAGAACGTATTTCAATATTTCGTTATAATTATTATATAAAATAAATCTCTCTCTCTATATATATTAGGGTGGGTCAAAAACATCAATTATTTTTTTTTTTACAAGTGACACAGAAAAATGGGTTGCTAGACAGCTTAAAAAAATTTTTACCAAATATGAGCTCTTAATTTTAATAGGAAGATCCTCCACATCGCAGTTTTTTATTTTTTTTTTCAGTCCAATAGATTAAAATTCATAGCTCATCATTAATTGATTGTACAGAAAAATGTTTTGGTAGAATTTTGTAGGAAATTTAATGCTCTACAAAAAAGGTATCTTATATTTTTTCCGTAAACCTCACCATTTGAATGATATTGAAGATTAAAGTTTGATTATTTTAAGACAAATTTCATTTTTGTTTATGAATTTTATAATTCGACAATAAATGACTATTAAAAAATGCGCAATACAAATTTTTGTAGGAAATTAACTACTCTATAAAAATGGTGTTTTATGTTTTGGCGATTAAATGAAGTGTTCAAAAGATATTCATCATCAAACTTTCATGTGTACTGATTTTAAAAGTTTTTGATTAGATATTCGAAAAATTTCAATTTAATTTATAAATTTTAAAAAAAATTTACACGAATTTTAGTTTTTATCAACTGACAAACTTCAAAATATTTTTCAAGTTTTTTTTTATGTGTAAGTATCTTTGTCTTCATTTAAAAAAATAAATTGTACATTATTTATCGCTTAGTTAATTATTTGTTAATAAAAAAAGCAAAGTTTTCATTATAAATATATTATGATATGTTTCAGTTTTGGAGAAAAAAAAATGTCCAATTAGTTATAAAAAAGTTTGTTATTTCAATTTTCAACTGAGTTATTAATTTTCAAACAATTTATTGTTGCAAGTAGGATAATTTTCTCTTTAACAAAAAAGTTTGATGATGAATATCTTTTGAACGCTTAATTTAATCGCCAAAACATAAAACACCATTTTTATAGAGCAGTTAATTTCCTACAAAAATTTGTATTGCGCATTTTTTAATAGTCATTTATTGTCGAGTTATAAAATTCATAAACACAAATGAAATTTGTCTTAAAATCATCAAATTTAAATCTTCAATATCATTCAAATGGTAAGGTTTTCGGAAAAAATATAAGATACCTTTTTTGTAGAGCATTAAATTTCCAACAAAATTCTTCCATAACATTTTTCTGTACAATCAATTAATGATGAGGTATGAATTTTATTCTATTGGACTGAGAAAAAAATAAAAAACTGCGATACGGAGGATCTTCCTATTAAAATTAATAGCTCATATTTGGTAAAAAATTTTTTAAGGTGTCTAGCAACCCATTTTTCCGTGTCACTTGTAAAAAAAAAATAATTGATTATGTTGACCCACCTTAATATATATACATATATAAATTTGGATAAATCATTTTGTCAAAATAATGTTTCCTTTACGCTGACATGAACGAAATCAAATACGATTGCTCTTACTCGGTCCCCATGGTCCTCTCCCCTTTCCCATAACCGGTTTGTAACAGTTTTATTTTTGTTTTATTTCCTTTTTTTTCTTTCTCCTTAAGTCTGTATCCTTCAGAATTTAGCTTCATGTCAGAAAAAAGAGAGGTTATCGCAATAAACATTTTTATAATCATTTCATAAACGTGAGATGTTATTTATAAAAGTTAATTCTTTGTTTTTATTTTTATTTTGCATGATAAATTCCATTAAAAAATTCCAAATCCTTTTGCGAGATTAAAAGTAATATTTTACGATCAAAAATAATTTGTATTTTTTACGTTCGTTGCCTTCACCTTTCAACATTTCTTTACTTACAGAGACAGTTAGAATTTAAATCTTTTTTATTGCAAAAGTTGATAAATTGATTGGAGGTAATACTCTTATAGTAGATCCGCAAGTAGGTCAGCTTACGTCAATCAATTTGGTATTTTAGACTTTCGACTTTACACCAAACTTTTCGTTAACATTGAATTATTTTGGTTATTAAATAGACACAAACGAAATTTATTCATCTTAATAATGTAATATTAATATCTAGAAACAAATCTATCTTTATTATTATTTTTATCTTTTCATTATTTTAATGAAAACATTTGGATATTTAATTTCAATAAATTAACTATATATATAAAATGTGCGTCCATTAAACTTATGCTATTTTTTTGTTATTTTCTCTCTTTCTAGGAGAAAATGTAAGGAGATATGAAGAAAGGGAGAGTAAAAGTAGAATGTAACTTGTATATAGTGGATGTTTTCATTGTACCTGGACGATCTGGTTCACCTTGGTTCCACAGCCGAGTTCGACTAACATTTTTCTTTTTCATCTTTCGAAACGAATTGGCAAACTTTTATTCCCACTGACTTTAAAACTCGTGTTGCGTATCTACATACCTTATGTCCGCGTAGTCTAAGAAAAATGTCTACAAAACCGAAACTGTTTTTCCTTGAATTCCGAGAATGACGTAGACGAAACACTTAAATGAAAATAACAAGAAAAGACATTTTATTATTCAAAGCCTAATACGATTACAGTCAACCCTCCTATAACGCGATACTCTCAGAAGGCGGTTTCCATATAACGCGGAGTTGAAAATGCGACAGCCCTCTTATATATATTATATTACAATACTGTAAGTAATATTCTTCATTTGTTCTAATATAATAATAATAAAGTAATTATTAACCCTAGATTTGCATCATGTCAAACACGAAAGAAAGAAGGAAAGGGTTAAAAAGAAAGTTTATATCTCTTGAAGATAAAATCGAAATTCTAAATCGGTTAAAATTCTGTTTTAATTCTAACAGTTTTTTAGTTTAGTTTTGGCATCATTTCTTTATATAAACTCTTCAATTCAATAAAAATAATTTATAATTTATCTTGTCCTTATTGGTCTCCATATAACGCGGTACGAATGATGTGATTTGTACTAATTCTGCGTTTCTTATAACGCGGTTTCCATACAACGCGGTAGACGGTTTCCATAGAACGCGCTACGAATTAGCCTGGTTTGTACGGTTAAATCCGAGTTTCTTATAGCGCGGTTTCCATATAACGCGGTACGCACTCACCGCATTATAGGAGGGTTGACTATATTTTATATTGTGCATTTATTTCAAATTATATCATATAATGTAAGTAGATTTTTGTCTTCTTATCCAAAAATCTATCTAGTAGACACCTAAAGTAAACAAATTTCATTTATTACATTAATAATCCTGTTTAAGAATACCTATCCCCCCCTCCCCTCCCACCTCAGTAATCCCTGCTTGTCGTAAGAGGCGACTAATAAGGAAAAAAAAAGAAAAAAAAATTAAAAAAATATCAAATTGTTGATCAAATATTAATTGACTTTGACAGTTTTTCTCGCGAGTTAAAATAACACGATTTGCGAATATGTTGTGACAATGGCATTGGAGGGTAATCATTGACTATATTAAAAATTATTATTCGAATATAAAGATGCTCGATAAGATTCAAGTCGTGCTCGTACAATTCATTTAATTGCACCCTTTCGAGAAGATAATCATTGTCAATCGTTCGAAAATAATCTAAAATGATATTTATGTGCAATATTATTGATGTTTTTTCAACATCAAGGACTCATACAATATTTCTTCACTTTATCGTTTCTTACGATCAAACGAATATTTAATTAAAATGAAAAAAGAAAAAAAACTTCAATTAAATTTATTTCGCTTAATTAATGGTTTTTTTTTTGTTTTTAAATGTTATTTGCAGACTAACAGACGATTAGAAAGGGAGATAGAAAAAAGCAAAATGTCAGCTATTATGGAATGGTACAAAGATTTTATGTACAATAAAAATGGTAATGTAAATATAAGCTCATTAAACATTCATCATTATCATTAGTAATAAGATGATAATTTATACGTCATTTAACAAGTTTATGTCTTTCAGATCCTAGAACGAAAGATTGGTTTCTAATTACTGGACCAGGTCCTATAATAACGATTGTGGCTACTTATATATATTTTTCTTTATACGCTGGACCAAGATATATGAGGGACAAAAAACCATACAATTTGAAAAATACTCTGATAGTGTATAATTTGAGTCAAATATTTATCAGCATTTACATCTTTAACGAAAGTTTGATGGCAGGATGGGCAGGCCATTACAATTTCTATTGTCAACCAATCGATTATTCGGATAATCCATTGGCAATGAGGGTTTGTTTTTTATAACAATACAATTTTACTTATATTTTAATTATAAAGAAATATATTTTGTATAATATATTCGTATATCGCGCGTTTCATCGTATAATGAGAATCGCATTAATTTGAATGAATTTATTGTAACAGATGGCACGTGGTGTTTACACTTACTTCATATGCAAATTGATCGAGCTATTGGATACGATATTTTTTGTTCTAAGAAAAAAAGACAAACAAATATCATTCTTACACGTTTATCATCATGCCATAATGCCTGTGGCCAGTTGGATAGCTGTTAGATGGTTACCTGGTGGTCATGCAACATTTATTGGTGTTATCAACTCGTTCATACACATCATCATGTACTCTTATTACTTACTATCTACACTTGGACCACAAATACAACCCTATCTTTGGTGGAAAAAATATCTTACAAGTTTGCAATTAATACAATTCGTATTAGTAGGTATTCACGGAAGTTTTATTTTATTCAATGATTGCAATTTCCCCAAATTTCCGATGATATTGTTGATAATCAACGCTTTCGTTTTTATTTATCTATTCGGCTCGTTTTACGTTGAAACTTATAGAAAAAAATCAGTCAAAGTTGAAAATAAAAATGAATTGAATAACACCGAAACGATACACAATAAATCCGATTGAGATTATATCTGCAATACAATGATATCATATTTTAAAAATACAGGAAATTATAAGAGAAAATTTCAATTAAATGTCTTCCATACAAGAGGGCTATATTTAAATAATATAAGAAAAATCATTGATTGATCGATTTTATTAAGAATAATAGAACATATAAATGAATGTGCGTATTTTTATAATCAAACAAAGGAAAATACTTGATACTTTATTATGTTTAACATTAACATCAAACTGTATTAATCTTTACTGTATTGAAATCATTTTCAAATGTATATCAATTTTAATTTTCAAATAGTAACAGTAAGAATTATTTGTTCATTTAAATGGTAATCACTTATATTTTATTATTAACTAATGTACTACGTTATATATACTAATGTACTATATTAATAATAATCATTATACTTTTCGATAGATAAATAGTTAAAGAAAAAAAGAATCACGTATTATTATAGAAATTAATGAAAATGATTGTAGATTTTATATAATATATATCAATTTAGTGACTAAATAGGAAATAATATGTATATATGTATTACATATTTATTGTTTGTTTTCAAAATTTGAGATAAATGTACAATTTTGAATTATATAATATCTAGTCTACCATTTCTTGTCAGTCACTCAATTGATTAACAAATTCAATAATCAAATTCCTAATAATATCAAATTATAAATTTGTTAATATGCATATAAATAGTTTTATAGAAGTAAATTTATATAAATGTTTAATCAATTGAAAAGGAAAATATGTAAAATCAAACATTTATATGTTATTATATAATTGCTAATTTGTTAATTATATTGAATATGAACATTTATTTAATTATCGATGCAATGATGCAATTGCTTGAATGCATTTTTAGATTCTTCCATATATTGGAATGATACTAAATATATATATATATAATAACATAACTATGTTTGTTATATTTATATAAGATTTTTTGGAAAGATAATTTTCAATCTTACTTATTCTATCAAATAAAAATTTCCATATTTATATGTTGAAATCGAATAAAATATTAATCGCACTAATATGCACATATTTTTCAACAAAATTGTAATTAAACTAAACTCGTAGTTAAATCACATATATAAATATTATTATTTCCCACACAAAAGCGTATGAATTAAAATGTATTCACAATCAACGGAAAAGAAGAAAACTCCCTCGAAAGGAGTCGAAATCTTTGATTGAATTTTGTATGTTAATATTCTTCTCTACGTTGTTATCGTAAATTTTGTGAACTAATATGTGACGATTTTTGGAATTAATCGTTTGATTTAATTTCTTACGTACGATTAACGTAATCGACCAAAATGAGTTTCATCAACAATAAGGATATGACAAAGCTATTAATTATTCTTTTGTCTGTTTTATTTATTCCTTATTATATAGACAAATGCGTGGATTCTATACAGTTACTTAATATTATAATGTATTGATTTAAATTAACTGAATATAAAAATAGAAATTTTTTTTTCATTTGAGAAATTCATTAGAATACAATTTATAAAGCAATGTTAGTAGAATGAAATATGAAATGACCACAGTATATTTTAAACCTTTGGTGCCGGTCTGTTGTATATGGTTTCCTTTATTAACTTAAACTGTTTTATTCTGTTTATAAAAATAAGTGCAAATAAATATAAAAACAAATGATTTCGATTATTGAAAAAAACAATTTAAAGAAATTCGAAAGTTAAAATTGATTTTTAATTTGATCTAAATTTAATTATTTATTTATTTTGTTCTAAATTAACATTCTCTATACCATTTTGAAAAATCACATATTTTCGTGATATAAATAAAAATCAATTATGGTGATTCTAATAGATTATATATACGAGGAGTTTTCTAAATTACATTCATTAGGAGGTAATAAAAATTTATCATTATTTTTATGTGCATGTGCAAGTGCAAATCCAAGTGCGCATGCATGTATATATTTATTGTTTAATGTTTATAATCATCTTATTCGTCGACAACAAAATAAAATATCGATATAAATCGTTAGATGTAAATTATAAACAAAGATAAGTTATTCTTTTTCTTAATAATTATTTTTCTTTAGAACATCGTATAAACGATTGGATTATCACTAAATCAGTATGGAACATTTTTGGCATAATAGCTGCTTATTTCTGTATTATTTATATACTCGGACCTGTATTTATGAGAAAAAGGAAACCATACAATTTACTCAAAATATTGATAATTTATAATATTATACAAATCATAGCAAATATTTACATAGTTATTATAGTAAGTTATTGGAAAGTTCTTATAAAAAATCGAATAAATTTAGTCTAACGCAATGATAACAATGAAATACTTATTACAAATATTTATTATAAATATATATATATGATTTGTATATGTGTTTATGTATACTTACAGACCATACAAATTGGATGGTTCTGGAAATATAAATTTGTTTGCGAGCCCATTGATTATTCAACTACTCCGGAAGCCATGACAGTAAAATAATTATAATATAATATAGTAATTATTATTATAAGATATATAATTATAATTAATGAAAAAAAAAATAAAATATAAAACGCAGGTACTAAATGGGATATGGTATTATTTTCTAATAAAGTTACTTGATCTCCTTGATACAATATTTTTTGTATTACGAAAGAAACAAAATCAAATTACAATTTTACACGTTTATCATCACGCCGGAATGGTTTTGCTCGTATGGATATCATTGAAATTTGTACAAGGTGGACAGGCAACATTTCTAGGTAATTTACAAGAGAAATAGAAAACTAAATCTAGTAGAGAAAGTATTTAACTTATAATCAATTATTAATTATAATTTCAGGTTATATCAATGGGATAGTTCACATAATCATGTACAGTTATTATCTAATAGCGTCGTTGAAGTTGGGTAAAATATGGTGGAAAAAATATGTCACCCAATTGCAAATCTTACAATTCACCTTATTAGCATTGCAACATACACTGACTATTTTGACACCAAATTGTGGTTTTCCCAAAATAATATCGACGTTATTTTTACCGCACAATTTCTTAATGATGTTACTTTTCATTAGGTTTTATAGAAACACTTACTTGAAAAAGAATAAAAAGTCAACTGAAATCTATGCAAATAACGTATCGAATAAAATCGATGAAAATAACGTTGAATCGTCGAATGGAAAAATTAAGACTCGTTAAAATAATCGATTTTTTCAACTTTTCAAATAAATTTTCTTGAACAAATTTTCTCTCTATGATAATATTTGAGTAATTAATTGGGAAATTTATATCGTACGTATGGTTTATCATAATATAAAATCTATATTTTAATTATTTAAACATTAAATATTCTTTTACTTATTGTGTAATCATTGTGTATATTATTTATGAAAGAAGAAATATATTTTTTATACGTATTATTACAATTAAAAATAAATGAAAATACATAATTGAAGAAACGTAACAACATTCCTTTAGAAATGTATGCACGGTTCAATATAATTGTGAAGAATCGAAAATATTTTTGTTGCATGTTAATTACTTCCTCTTTAATATTTTTTCGTTTTATATTTTTTTGACCTTTTCTTTCCTTTCTTTTATTCATCGAATTAATTAATATACATAATATTCAAATTGATCAATCATTATATCAACCGTTTATTTTGAAAGTGATCTAACTCCATTTATGTTCGAATCGAGATATTTAAGAGTTTGCATTTCAATGCGATTAAAAATATACGTACAAGGTACTAATCAGTCATATTGCTTGAGTGTATCTAAATAAGTTCAATTTATAATTTCTGTTAAAATAATGACAATTATTAAATGGATAATATGTGTTTTCTAATCACGAATGGAGTTAGGCCACAGTCAAAATCAACAATTTCATTTGTTATACAATTTCAAAGGGACTTAACTCCATTCAACCTAATTTAAGATGCTTCAAATTGAAAAAAACAATACTCAATTTATTTTACATATCTTTAAAACATWTCAGAAACATAATTTATGCGATTCCAAACATTTTTTAACTACATAACGTACAAAATTACAATTACAAAATTACAATTACTACATACCTACAAAACAATTTACTACTCATCTATATTTTGTGTATGAAAGGGATTTGAAGAAATCATGATGTTCCGGTGGTATATATGGTAATAGGTCAATAATTATGTCCTTGAATTTTACTGTTCTAATTGTCTGATAAAAATATCAGTGATAAAAAAATCAGTCTGATAAAAATGTAGTCGTGTCTATACAATATTTTCGAACTTTCTTGGTYTACTCTGACGTGGTAATAAATTCAGGACTTTCAAATTTTCATTCTCATTCATTGATGTCTTATAGAAAATTTTATATGGTTCATTTCTAACAAAACGCATCCAACATATTTTTAACMAGTTTATTGATTCTTCATYAGAATTCTTTACCCWTTTAAAAATTGCGTCTTCTAATAATTTTGTTCATAMAAAATCTTGTTGTCTCATTATATTTAYAATAAAGTATTATCATAYTTACTTGGAATATAAGCAACCTCAAATGCTTTATTGATACATAACATGAAGTTGTACAATAACCACGTGCAATCGGAAAATAATACTTGACAAATGGAGTTAGGCCACTTTGAAAATAAACGTTTTCATCATTCCGTTGATCAGCAAATTTTCTTGAACAAACAAAATCTTCATGATTTTAATTATATTTGTAACAAATTGCTTCAGAATGAAAAGATCATGTAAAAATGTAACTATTACGGTAACTAACTCGATTTTTTTGGAAAATGGAGTTAGGCCACTTTCAAAATAAACGGCTTATATTTTCATTTACATATGTGTTGAATAATTCATAGGTAAGATTATCATACAAATGTTTTTCTTTATATTTGATACCTCACATATTTTCATGAGAATATTAATTATATATATAATGTAAATAGTTAAACGATAATCACGAAAATGTAATACGAATAAACATATGAACAAATTTTTAATTATTAAAATTAATTTTAATTATTTATATTTTAATAGCGTCAAACTTAATATGTAATAAATAGTTATATTGCTAGACTTTAAAAAAACAGCGCAACAGTAAAAGTTTTATATCCGTATAAATGGTATTCAGTACAAAAAAAATTTGAAATGACGTACGATTTACATTAACGCGACCGAATGTATAAATAGAAAAATACCAAAAAGGTAAATATTTAAAAGGATTATAGTTCAAATAACATTTCAAATAAAACTGCTTATAGTAAAATATATACGATCATTATTTATAATTATATAAATTATTTCGAAAAATTTCATTCTAATTGAATAAAATGCTTAGATACGTTTTAACAATAAGTACAAATGAAATTGTTATCGTTGTCTTATAGAAAATTGATCTTTCTGATCATATTATTATGGATTGGGATAAAACTGGAAAAAAAAGTAACTTTTCTTTTCGATCATTGAAGAAGAAGAAGAAGAAGAAGAAGAAGAAGAAGAAGAAGTCAATTTTTTCATCATAGAATATCTCACTACACTAAGAATTAGAAACGCATATGATTTATTCACCGTTGCTCGGAAAAGAAAAGAAAAACAAAGTAGTTTGACCCACTTATTTTCAAATATTTATCTATCTCTCTCTCTCTCTCTCTCTCTCTTTCTTTCATAAAGTTGACCGAACAACTGGTAACCAGTGACGAAAGGATTGAAATAAAAAAAAAGGTATGAAGAAAATGAACATGGGCGTTAAGTTCAAGTACCGTTTAACCAATAATATATATGAACACACATATATAGACAAAAATGACTGACACATAACACATTTCTACTTTGGTCTATATTTTTAGATCAGAAAATAAGAAATGACAAATTTGATCAAGTAAAAAGAACAGAACAATAAATTAAAATTGTATATAAAAAAAGTATTATAAAAATATAACATAAGAAGTGCATATTAATAATTTATATAGTTCGTGATAATTATAAATAGATGTTATTAAAAAAATTTATCTTGAGATATCATTTTTGCTGAAAATATAATTTTGGTTTGTTCTTTTTCTTGACATTTTACATAAAACATTAACCACAGAAATAAACAATTCAAGTTAAAGAAATGATAATGCGATGACGACATTATGGAATATCGATAAGATGATTTACCAAAGAATTTCTAGTATTTAAAATTATGAATAATCTGTATGGATATCGTTTGTTCTCATCATCGTTGTCATAATTGTCATCACACGCAAAGTTAAATTTATTCCGGATAAACATGTTTAATTTTTGCAATTGCTTGGCAAATAACTCCACGTGTGTTACAGCATACCGACATATTTCATTTCTTTTTCTCTTCAGAATATATTTCTTATCTTTTGAATTTATTCATCGATACCATTCTTAAAAATAAATAAAGAAAAATAAATCACTTAGCCAATCAAACTTAGCATTAGTCAATTTAACGTTATTAAATTTAAATTATTTAAAATGAATAATTTTTTCATTTAAATGAAATTTAAAATGAATAATTTTTTCATTTAAATGAAATTTAAAATGAATAATTTTTTCATTTAAATGAAATTTAAAATGACATAATTATTTTCAAAGTATCCAAAATTACTGACTTTTTATATTTACTTTTAAATATACACTGTAGATACATTATAATTAAATTAACAAATATATCTTTATTGATTTTTTTCTTCTTTTTCTTGAATGTACTTCAAACGTTTCAAGGGAAAAATATTTAAATTGTATATTTCTTTTTTACGTCATTTAATTTCATTTTGCAATTTTCTAAACTAGATTATTGTTTACATCATTTAATACATTTTTTAATCATCACTGAATATAATACGTCAATAAATAAATATTATTTTTTTCAAATGATTTACACAAAACGTTCGAAATTATGTCATTTTCGAGTCGATGCGAAAACAAATATTTTCTTATTACTATAAAAATTGGCACGTTTATTTGTTAGTTGATATGCTGTATCGTTCTAATAACACGCGGCAGAGGTATCATTTTTATATCGTTAAGAAAAAAAAGCCTACACGTCATATTGTCCATTGATATGGTTTATCTTTTCAGGAAAGAAAAAAAAACAAACAAACAAACGAAAAGAAAAATAATATATATAATAGAGTTATTTCAAAAGTGAGTCATACAAGTAATAGATAATAAGAAAATTATTTAAATTCACTTTTATCTCCTTGCGTGAAAATAAAGTAAAAAAAATTTCGTGTAACATAAAAAAAAAAAAAGAAACAAAATTAAATGAACAACTTTACATTTTTATTTTCACAATGCTATAAATTTTTATTTCTTATATATCATTAATTCACATTTAAACTTCTCACCTTTCGTACCGATAGATTGATTGCAAAATAAAAAAAAAATTAGCAACATGGCAAAGTTGCAATCGAATATATTAGTTTTACATATTTGAAAATAAAAATAGCACGTATAAGTGTTTTGTGCAGACAAAATTAATTTAAATATAACGGAAAACTTTATATTCTTTATTGTAATATTTAGTAAATGGAAAAAAAAATAAAAATAGGAGTATATATATATATATATATATATATATTAGGGTGGGTCAAAAAAATGACTTATTTTTT